GATTTAAGAATTCGAGTAATACACTGAATGACCAAATAGTATTCAATAACTCTCTGTTACTGAATATTTTTGCAAATGTGGAAACTGAAACATAAGCTCAAATAATCTAATTCATTACAAAGTCAGGTACACGTAAAATATATGGCCAGATAAAAATCGGGTGAAACTCAATGAATTAAGTGGTGTGAGATATACTTCGTTTCCCATGTGTCCTCAGAAAAACATCTGAAGGACTTAAGTCGGCTGACCGAAGTGGCTACTCGATTGCATTCCTGTCCTATCCAGCCACCTCAAAAGTTTGAATAATTTCCAATTTTTTTTAAATATTGATTAATAATTTTATGTAGTCTTGATACGAACTGGATAGATCGGATTCTGTCATAATTCCAGGTATATAATAACTATTGAATTCTAAAATGAAAAAAAGGACTCAGAAGGGTATTTCCAAAAGTGCACACATTCCGAGGATTTTGTGTACCTGATGGCTAACCCTGATTAACCACGTGGTTAACGTCTTCATTCAGTTTTTGGACTAACTAATTCTCATACGGATAAAGCTTCTCATTACTCGCTGGCAATTGTACCACTCTATGGCTTCATTAAGAACCAGAGTATCACCCTGCCTTCACATTCATTTCAATGAAAAAAAAATCACTCACCTAACACCAGGAAGAAATATTAGCTTTGTTCAACGAATTATATTTCATTCCAAAAGGCTGTCAGTTTTGTTCACCGGCACCGATATTTATCAGAATGAGATTAAAAAGAAAAAATGAAAGGTTTTAAATATAATTCAGTTATTTCTATTCTTCTTCGAATTGAGTACTTACCGCGTAACAGATAAAATTAGAAGGTTTTGCCATAATTTTCAACACATCAGCGATATAACCAAAACACCATCTTTTCAATAGTTTGAACCGAATGCATTAAAGATGTCGCGAAATCACGAATATTATATATTAACATAGATCCTTTTTTTGGCGTAAAATGTAACAGTTGAATGATCGACATTCAAGCACATGAACATAGTTATGTGTATCTCAATACCAGTCTAACACCCTGTGTATTTTCATATTTTTGAATATTTGAATGAACAAATGAATGATGAACAAATGAATAAGTTTTTTGGGTCTATACCTCGTATAGACCCAAAAAACTTAGGGTCGAAACCCAAATTTTGAGATTCATGTGTGAGATTCGGAAAATATAGTTACCTTTCAAAAATATTCAGAATATATTCTGTAAAAGCTGTTTAGCCTCCATTTTTTTTATCATTTTCATGCATCAAGGGAAATAATTTCCATTGAAATCGAATAGATAGACGTTAAGGTTCAATTTGACATATCATTTTAAAGTTAAAATTCGAAACCCGACGGGTTTTTTTCCAAATTGATTCAGTCATTAATAAAAATGTAATATTCAGTATCTGCCCAGAACATAAAAAATAACGTTATTAATCAAGACGTCAGCATTAATATTTCACTTGCTGATTTTCCTTTTTTTCAATAGGTGTTCTTTCGAAACTATAATAGGATTTGATAAGCTCTGCAATTATGTTATCACTTTATTCCAGATTCCTATAAATTTAGTGGTGAAGCTTGCTTTGGCTCAAAGCTTAACGAGGAATATTTGAAAATATTCGCACTTTTTTGAAATTATCCTTCAAACTGCAATGCTCAAACCAGTTTGCTAGTTAATTGTCTAATGACACCTGAAAGCAAAAGGTTTAGTAAAAATTATCATCCAGCTATTAAAACTCATATTACAAATACCGAATTTTGATTAGGAACTATTCAAATCAACTGGGCAAAAACTTGATTGATATGCGTAATTTCTCAGCAAGTGAATGTTACATCTAGGCGTTAATTGACTTTTCAGGGGATTTTTGTTGAACACATGATAACTTTAATTGTGGTGGTATGAATATTTACGAAAAACTGGCCTACGAACTGATTGCAACAAATGAACGCTTTGCTATTAGCTGTTGGCACAATTTCCGGTTGAAAGTACGTTTGCTAGTTAGACATATTTTTCCACAATACATATTAATCCTGAACGCCTTGCATAACGGACTATACATAAATTGAACTGTTATTTTGGAGTGTCCTGAATAGTTGTTGTGAATTTATGCCAGAAACGTTTAACACAAGGTGTCAGATGTCGATACCGGGTATATGAATGTTGTTAACAAATCAATTTCTGATGATTTTGTCAATTTGTTGAATTACTTTAATCCATTTGTGAATACTATTCTCCTCAAGCAATGGAAGAAAAACACTACATTCAAAAAACGTTTTCGACCCCAATTGTGATCCATTTTTATAACTGATATTTTGATTTCAACCCCAAATTCGACACCTTCAGAGTGGAAGTTGCAATTCCTAAATTTTTGAATGGGGATTGTGATGTACCATTGAGAAACACAATCCATTGTCAATTTCATTGACGAAAGTCGTCACAACAGTCAAGAAACACAACACGATCACCTGATCTTGGATAAATTTATGAAGAGAGGTAATACAAAAGTTATCATAATATTTTAATCCGATATCTTATTTTGATTATTCACTACTTTCAACTTTGTGTCGTGTCGTTTATCTTTGTTGTGGATCATGATTCAACTTGATCTTAAATTGAGATACTATAATATATATTTCTTACCTTATTCTTGATAAATAAAATAAACATATGCACTATTATTTCTCTTCACTACACAATCTAAATTTCTACTTATCAAACGTAGTTTGATAGTGGAACATAGTGGAACATAGTTCCAAACTTATCGTTTTGGAACTATGTATCACTATCAGATACTTTTAGAAATTATAATATAGGAACATGAAGCGAAACTGCGTCTAGATGCGATACTTCATTTGGCTTTCTACTAAGGGAAAGTTCCGAAGTATCCAACTGGGGATTCCCAGCGATAGCAGCTTATGATAAATAATGTTGCCAGACTAATTAAAAACGAATCATAAGAAACGACAATGATGAGAATCTTTCAAATAATTGTCTTAATAACATAATATAGTCAGAAAAAGAAATATATTCACGAATTTTTTATTCATATGCATAGTGTGGAATATCTTTGGGTTGAGAATTTTCTAATGTATGCACTTTTGGATTTTCCATAATTCTTTGAAATTCATTTTCGGCTTTGAGGTGCAGGTCAGTTGCACCTCGAGAACGTTGGCGGTGGCCCACATCGCCCTCCCTCCACCTAAAATGCTAGAATGTAGTTTTTAATGGAACACTGGATAAATCAGATTGAAATATAGAAAAAGGCTCATGCATTGCAATAGTTCACAAATAATGGGTCTTTGAAAATGATAACGGACATCTTGTTGAAGCTACATCTGTCGAATTAGTTGTCGTTTATTCAGTATGTTTTGCCATATCACCAGCTACGAATATAGCATTCAATAACACGTGCAAATAATAAAATTGTTTTATCAAAAAAGGTGTTCTATTCGGGCAACGTACCGCGCGCTTCGCCTATTTTACGGTCGCAGTTGGCAACTGATCCTAATTCTCATCGAAAAATCATCTTCAGCGATGAGGTCCATTTCTGAATGAATAGGTACGTGAATAAACAAAATTGTCGAATTTGGGATGATACCAATCCAGATGAGATATAAGAGCGTCCAATGCATCCCAAAAAGTCACTGTTTGGTGTGGATTTTGGGCTGGCGGCGTCATCGGTCCATATTCCTTCGAGAACGACGTTGGGTCGATGATTACTAACTTCTTCTGACCTAAATTGATTAGTCTGGACACCAAAGACATGTGGTTTCAACAGGACTGCGCTACATGCCACACAGCTCACAGCCACATTGGATATTCTGTACGAGCGATTTGAGGGCATGATCAGCTCACGTTGAGGTGATGTGAACTGGCCACCGAGATCGTGCGATTTGATCCCGTTGGACTTTTTCCTGTGAGGTTCTCTTGAGTAGCAGGTGTATGCAAAATAGCCACAAACTACAGCGCCAGCGGTTTTCAAGGCCAAAATAACTCATGCCATCGGTTAAATTCAGCCCGATTCATGCGCCAGAGTCATGTGAAATTGGAGGTTTCGGATGCGCTCCACTCAGAGAAGCCGTGGCAGATATTTGAACAATGTTATATTTCTTCGCCTATTTTACGGTCGCAGTTGGCAACTGATCCTAATTCTCATCGAAAAATCATCTTCAGCGATGAGGTCCATTTCTGAATGAATAGGTACGTGAATAAACAAAATTGTCGAATTTGGGATGATACCAATCCAGATGAGATATAAGAGCGTCCAATGCGTCCCAAAAAGTCACTGGTGTGGATTTTGGGCTGGCGGCGTCATCGGTCCATATTCCTTCGAGAACGACGTTGGGTCGATGATTACTAACTTCTTCTGACCTAAATTGATTGGTCTGGACACCAAAGACATGTGGTTTCAACAGGACTGCGCTACATGCCACACAGCTCACAGCCACATTGGATATTCTGTACGAGCGATTTGAGGGCATGGTCAGCTCACGTTGAGGTGATGTGAACTGGCCACCGAGTTCGTGCGATTTGATCCCGTTGGACTTTTTCCTGTGAGGTTTTCTTGAGTCGCAGGTGTATGCAAAATAGCCACAAACTACAGCGCCAGCGGTTCTCAAGGCCAAAATAACTCATGCCATCGGTTAAATTCAGCCAGATTCATGCGCCAGAGTCATGTGAAATTGGAGGTTTCGGATGCGCTCCACTCAGAGAAGCCGTGGCAGATATTTGAACAATGCTATATTTCACACATGGCACTAATAGGTCTTTCAAACGAATAGAAAATTTTGTTGATATATCATACAAACTATGTTTTATTCAAATTTCAAAAATAGAAAGGGCTTAACAAAAGACCCTATATATTCAAAACAATATTTTAGTTTCCCTGGCTCAAAATTTTTCAAGATCTAGCCGATATCTATTATCGTAAAACTTCTACTGGAGATCATTGTTCAAATTTTTCTGTCTTTCATTTTCAGTGCTAACACTCAGATGGACAATGACGTGACTCCGGTATATCTAGCAGCACAAGAAGGACATTTGGATGTTTTGAAATTCCTAGTTCTAGAAGCTGGAGGTTCTCTTTACGTTAGAGCAAAAGATGGCATGGCTCCAATACATGCCGCTAGTCAGATGGGATGCCTTAATTGTGTCAAGTGGATGGTGAGCCTATTTTTAGTTAAAAATATCAAAGAATCATATGTTTATTCCAAGTTTCACGATATAGTTTGAAGGGCATATCAACTTTTTGTTGTTTATCTTAAGAACTATCATTCAATATCATTTTAGAAACTTGAGCTCAAATTTTTTGGTGAGTCAATAAAACCAACCAAGATGGCTATCAAATAAAAGACATAGTTATTTTACTATGGTCTAAATGGCAATATTGGTACATGAATGTCAATGAATGGACATTCTCTCAATATCTGCTGAATCAAATCGTGATTTTGCTTGTGGATGGATCATTTGAATTTCCACAAGGCTTCTCAAGTTTTCTTCTGCCACTGGAAAGAGAATGTATAGTGCGGAAAATGGTCTTTCGACATTCAACATCCAACCAACCTTGAGTGATACCTTAACATATACTTCCAGTCAATATATACTTTCCCAGCCGTTTCAGTAACTTTGACCCACATTTTTCATTTTTAATTGATTTTGACACTTTCGAAGATGAAAAGTATCCAATTTGAAAACCCTTAATTTCATAAGAACCATATTTCGCCTCACAATGAAATGTCCATATCTTTCTAAACATAAACATGTGCATGAAAGCTTCATTTCAATACAGTTCAATTTACCAAATATTTCATCATTGGTGAAACTATTATTCGCGATCATTCGCGTCAAACCATAAGAGTGTGTCTGGAAAGAGATAGAAGAAAGTTCTTCTATTGAAATCATGTCCACAATCTTCAATTATCCACACGCAAAACGACAAATCTTTTTTACATACAACCCAAGGAAAACAAAGGATTATCAAAGTAACATTCAAACTGTATTGGCAGTTTTTGGGAAATATTAAATTTGTTAGTTGGTGCCGGAATGTCTGAGTATAAAGTAAACAGCGAAGCAGTTCTTAAAGGTAAATCATATCATATTTGTGTAAGATACAGAATTGGCCTACAAATTTTTTCTTTGAAATCGTCTCACGAAGTGAGATCAACTCTGGTGCCTCCAGAGAATTGAGTGGAAAATTTTTTTGTGTAACCGTAAAGCAGTTTAGGTCTCACCTTTCAACGTACTGGGAAATACACGATAAAATGTGAGACCTCATTAACCATTCTTTGTCGTTCATAGGGGGGCGACAGCTGGTCGGTTCGTCAAGGGAAGCTTTTTCCTTGACCAGTCTAGCTGGGGTTACTTTGGCGTCCTCTCTCTTGGGTCGTATGGCCCACTCGAATATTCTCCTTCGCTGTACCCATTCCCTTTGAAAGCATTTTTCAGGTGATTGGGTCCTTCAGGAAGACTTCCAGGTTAAATGATACGTCGTGCTCTCTCAACCGACGTTTTAATTACCTCTCTCTTTTGTAGATGCCGTTGGTTACAGTTTTTATTCAGATACCTTTCTGTGTGGGTTGGTTTCGTGTACAATCTGTACGATATCCATGTCTGTACACGAGAATATCCAAGAAGGCTACAGTCCCTTGGGTTTCTCGTTCCATTGTGAATTGGATTTTTGGGCCAAGAGAGTTTAGATATAATAGAAAATCATTTAGTGTCTCTTCACCATCTTGCCATAACAAAAACGTGTGCGTCATCAACATAACGCAGCCAATAATATGGTGTTTCGGGTACTATATTTTTCACTGTATTATTCAGTTTATTGACAGATTAGAGGTTGACAATTTACTAGATGCATTGAAAACACCTTCAGAGAAACAACCTGTCTAAAGGCCTGTGCGAACGCATTCAAGCGGAAACTTATGCTTTTGATTTGTGTGTTGGAAATGGTTTGGATTCATGTCGTTACTGGCCTGGGAGTTTATGGATCTGCAGACTTTCTTGCAAGTTAGGATATTTCAAGCAGTTTTATCGTACCAAAAACTGTCATTGATTCAACTTAGATTCTGCCAAAGAAATATTGAACACCTGGAATGCAAAAAACTATCAGACTTCTGTCAAAATCTACCAGGACTGGTCCTTGAACGCCCTTCGAAGTAAGGCATCAAACAATTATTAGACCTACAGCAGGAATGACTCACATTGTCGAACAGGTCTGACTGTAGGTCACTCTCATCTGAATCATCATATGCAGAGACTTGGTCTCTGTTTGGAAGATGATGAAATAGTGGAGCATGTACTTACTCTGCTTCTGCTATAGTGTGGATCGAATCAGGTTTTCAGAGTTTCTGAAGCAGAGCACAAGTAACTGTTTGTTGTGAATAAATTGAATATCTTGAATCAATTCTCGTCAAATTTGAACAAGTTACTTTATTAAATTCACTTTTTCTGGCGTAAAAACTTTTTGGGAGAGTTTTTGAAGGAAATAGTAAATTTCAAGAAAGAAATCACAAAAAAATGAGTTTAGTTTGACAATGTAGTCCATTACTGGTACCCAATTTATCAAGGAGTCGATCCCAATTTGAGAGATGGCGATGGTGCTACCCCTTTACACTTTGCTGCATCCAGAGGGCATCTGGATACGGTGCGTTGGTTACTGAAACACGGTGCTCGGTTGTCTTTGGATAAATTCGGGAAAAGTCCTATTAATGATGCAGCCGAAAATCAACAAGTTGAGGTAAGATTTTCCAATTTTTATTTTCTGATATTTGCGAAAGATACATCAATATGATGAACCCAATTAACTATTTGTATACATTTTTCCAGTGCTTAAATATATTAGTCCAACATGGAACTACACCAGACTATAATACGACAGAAAGAGTTAAAACTGGAAAAAGCTGTTCCTGTGCTAGAAAAGGAGAAAAATTGAGAAGAGTGAGTTATTTATCATAATTATATAGAGAGTATATTTCAAAAATTGAAAAGGATGGAATGGTGAAATATGATAATTTACTGACACGATTACAGTGGAAAAATAGTATATTAATCTTCAAATAAAACAATTCTCGTCGTAGTTTATTGCCGAAGTCACCACAATTATTGAATTAACATGTAATTTACGTTCGATAATTTGTGGCCCGATTACACAAAGCGAAAAGTAATTTGATGATGTATTTGTTTGTATCACAAAGCATTTTTTAGAGATTGTCGGAAAACAAATCTATTGTAGTATATCAGTTTCAATAACACATGGAACTTTTTAATTGAATTTTCAGCATGATCAGTAAATCTAAGGCCAATGTCAAACACCACCCCTAAGTTTTTAGCTGTATATACAGAAGTCATGATAGTGATACTTAGGTCTGGACATTTTTTCCTGCAAATTTATGATTTTTCTGCAATCCAAAATTCATCATCATTGTTTTATTAGGATTAACATCCAAGTCGTGTTTACTTGATAGATAATTGATCAAATCTAGATCATCGATTTTAAAATGCATATATAACCATGTGTCATCAGCATAAGCCTGTATTTCACAATTCTTTATGCATTCGATTATGTCAGTGGTATGAATGATGAACAATAAAGGTCTCGAAATGTAACTCTGTGATACTCCAGAAAGAATATGAAGAGATAAGGAGTAGTGACCATTAACAAAAACTTTTTAAGATCTACTCAGTAACCACAACACATCCGAAACTTCATCTGACTTCTAGGAAAATATTTGTAAAAATATTCATCAAATTATAAATAACTGTTCATAACTTATGTGGATTTCATTATATGTCATTTATGGGAGATTTTATATTCAATAAATAAAATAAATATCGCCTTGACCTTATCGTCGAATATACTTCGTTTTTTATTATTATATTTTTCGATTATTATAGGGAAACAGTGCTGCTAGTGACTGCTCAAATTGCAAAACAAAGCTGACCCTCAGTGGTGTCAATCACAATGGCCACACTAATCACAGCAGCAATAGTAGTCACAGTAACCACAGCAACCACTCTGAACCTTTCTATCTACATCCACCGCTCAGCGACAGATCAATGGAACCGCCTCATGCTCCTGAAAATGGACTTTATGTCAATCCAATGAGTAAACATAGGCACAGGTGAGTTGAATGTGAAAAAAAATGGTGGCAGCAACATCATTGTTGTTATTTTTGATATTTAATAATCATATGGAACATATACTATGTAGAGATAGATTATAGTTTAAAAAATAAACGATTATTGATGCATGAACACTACCAACGTTATTAAAAAATGAATGTTATAATTATAATTGAATCATAATTACATTAATACGTAACTGATACTCAGTTGTATATGAGTACTCACTGAATTCATATTGCAGAAAACTGATATGAATAATGATGATCTGAAGAAGTTATGTGACACTTCTTCCCAGCATAATCTTGAGTTGAACGCTTCCAAATCCAAACTATTTTTTTTTACAAAAAGGAAATGGGTAACTTGCGATATCAGAGGACTCAATTCAGATATAAACTCAGCGCACCAACATCTGCAATCAAATAGTCCTCATATTCTTGCACTCACCGAAACCATAGTCAGTGCTTCAACACTGAACTCTATAAAATACACAATTTCACCACTAACACAAGCAGATGGTTCGATTGGAACAACAGTCATAAAAAAAGCGAATCTACTAGCTGAACAATTTGCGTCACACTCCACAGTCGATTTTCTGGGAAAGGCACCAACAACTATTCATATACTAGAATCCACTTTTCGACAGTGTCTAGTCAGGTGAATTTTGAAACAGTTCAATATCAACAAGGCATTTGGCCCTGATGAAGTGCCCGTCATCGTACTTGAAAAGTGCGCAAATGAATTCGCACCAGTATTTTGCGAACTTTTCAACCTGTCTCCCAAGAAAGGGGTTTTCCTTTTTGTTGGAAAACTACTATCGTTCAGACTTCTTCCAAAAAGGGCAAAAAAATCTTCCAAATAACTACAGACCAGTCGCTTTGCCATCACTGATATTAAAATTCATGGAGAAAGTCGCAAACCACCATATACTCAAATATTTGGAAGGCTTCAAAATCTTGAGCAATCATCAATATGGCTTTTGGAAACAAAGATTAACAGGTGACCTTCCATCGTATGTCACCCAAATTTAGAATAACGCAATCGAGAAACGTAGAGAATCAAGAGATGCTGCGCTTGATATTTCTAAGGCCTTTGACCGTGTGTGGCATGAGGGTTGGCTGGCCAAACGTCGATGCTATGGCTTGTCAGATCATTTTTGTGTATCACTCTCCAGCTTCTTGAAAGAACGTTCCCTGCAAGTGGCCTTCGATGGATATCTCTCAAATACTTTCACCATCAACGCTGGTGTTCCCCAGGAATCCATATTGTCTTCAACCCTCTTTTTATTGTATATCAACGACTTATTGGAAAAAAACAAGAAACCAACATATTGCTTTGCTGACGACAGCAACCTTATCTCGTCATTCCATTTGTATTCCAGGACATCGGGTACTTAGGCACATCTTCACCGGAAGTTGCATATCTTAATGAGAATCTAGAAGTGATTTCGAATTGGTGTGAAAGTAACCAGATCCAATTCAATGCCACAAAAACCCAGCCATCAGTTTTCTTCAAGAAGATAAATGTCTCCGAACCAGATATAATAATGTCAGGTGAGCTGACTTTCTGCTTCGATGAGTTTGTTGGGGGTTAAAATGGACAGCAATATGTCTTGGCACAATCATGTTGCTGGAATTGCGAAGGCTGCTTCTCAAAAGTTCGGAACACTGTTCCGAACCAGAAAACTGTACACACCTCAACAAATTTTGATGCTTTATAAAGCTCAGATCAGACCTTTTTTGGAGTACTGTTCTCGTGTATGGAGCTCTGTCCCCAAATATACCCTGAAGTTGCTGAATTCCATCCAGAAAAGAGCCATCCGCCTGAATGGAAATGCGAACATCACTTGCAATCTTGATAGTCTGGAACATCGAAGAAAGGTTGGAGATTTATCTCTTTCCTATAGATATTTTCATGGGAAGTGTTCAAGTGACTTGACACATTTGATTCCATCAAGAGCGGTACATATCAGAAATACGCGACGGACTATGGCTGCTCACCGGATACAATAATGTCAGGTCAGACAATTCCCCTTTCTGCTTCGATAAATTTGTTGGGGGTTAAAATGGACACCAATATGTCTTGGTACAATCATGTCGCTGGAATTGCAAATGCTGCTTCTCAAAAGTTTGGAACACTGTTCCGAACCAGAAAGCTGTACACACCTCAGCAACTTTTGATACTTTATAAAGCTCAGATCAGACCTTCTTTGGAGATTTGTTCTCATGTATGAAGCTCTGCCATCTAGAAAAGAGCTATCCGCCTGATTGGAGACGCGAACATCACGTGTAACCTTGATTGCCTGGAACATCGAAGAAAGGTTGGAGATTTGTCTCTCATTTAAAGATACTTTCACGAGAAGTGTTCAAGTGGCTTGGCAAGAGCGGTACATATCAGAAATACGCGACGAACTGTGGCTGCTCATCGTTTTGAGGTTCAACTCAGTACACTTCCAACTTTACTGTTTGAGAGTTTTCTCATCTGGAGAACTGTGTTTATGTGGAATAATCTTTCTGAGAACGTTTTTCCAAATTGATTCAATCTCCAGCAATTCAAATCCAATGTGAATCGCTACTTTCGCACAGGCACCGCTCTGGGATGGGTGTCTGTGTTTTGTCTTAAAAAAAATAGGAGGAGCCGGTTAGATAGCGACATGAGATTTACGAAGCATGTTAGTCAGTCAGAACCTCCTCAATACTTTTAGAAATCTGTGTTATGAATAGAGAGTTGAAATTGACAATTTGCGAATCCCTGATATTTTCAAAATTATACAACTATATACAACTATATGCAACTATATACACGGCCCTGCCCTTCTCTCCAGCGAGCGTTTACAAAATGCAAGTATGAGGTTCTCTTCAGGAATTTGTAAATTGATCACATGAGAAAAGCATATAAAGAATCATTAAAGCTACGTCTCAATCAATTTCGAAAAATTAACTTTCTGACAGCTCTTCACGAAATTCGTTATCTTTCAATATATTTCGAAACATCAATAACATACCTACGAGAAATCTACGTCAACTTGTCATCCGCAAACATAAGAGCGATACAATATGGGATGCAACATGAGCCATCTTTTATCGCTTGATGTAACTTTTATCCTAGCAACATTCCAGTGCACACTGGAGCGATACAATAGTCTATAGGGTTAGCAACGGAGCAGTTGTTTTCATCAGTCGTCATGAGGTCGTTGTTTTTGTTTACCGGTACTTGCAAAAGAGGAAACTGGAATCTAGAAAATACTTGGTACACCTATATGTATAATTTTCAATATTAAACACAGTTTGGCAGTGGTTTTCCGTGAGCTCTCTCAACATGAACAGAAATTTAGAGAGTTTAATTCACTACATACGAGTATTGTACTTCTTTCATTACATCCGATACAAACATCTTTGGATGATCTACACATCTCTTATATTTTTTGCTTCAAAGCTATGTATAGTTATCAATTATGTTCATACAATACTAATATTCATTTTTTTATTGGGCATATCCAATAATCTATTTCAGTTTCAGTTCTAAATTCATCTTTTCTTTTCCTTTGAACAGTTTCATTTTATTTTCCTGCTACAAGCATAAATGTTTCTTGGGAAAATGACAGTTGAGCTACGCAAAAATGAGCACATAATTTGAAAATTTCGTGAAGCTCATTCACAAGCATTTTTTTAAAATCCTCATTGATATATTTTATTACTGAACGAGCGCGAAATATGACCATTTCACGCGAGTGCAATACAGACTTTTTCTATTACTTATATCAGGCATATTTCAAAATAAGATTAATTCACGAAGGATATTCCTAATGTGAATAATATCATTAAATGTCATAACTCAAAGCAACCTGAAATATAATTCAAAAAGAATCCCTAATTCCTTCATATATTTTCAAATTTATGATTTATGAAGAGAAGACTAACTACTCTACAAAAAAATATACAGATTCGTAAAAGATAAAACTATTATAGTTTCAGATTTCTTTCATTTTGTTATTGAGCGATAAATTTTTGAAAAATATCAATTTCTTTGCCAAATTACAAATTACTGGTGAACTACACTTATTTTACATCACATTCGTATTCTTGTTGGAAAACATATATTTGAAAAAAAAACTGTCAGTTCAATGATTGAGTTTGAAGAAGGTAAATTATCAAGGTCATAAATCAAGAAACGGTAACCTAATGGCCGCTTTTTTCAATAGTCCCAATAGTCACAGAAAAAAATATAACTCGCGATAACCTATCAAACTGAACTCAAAGAGTTGTAGTGGACGGTATCAACTCAGATGATCTACCTGTGATCAAAGGTGTTCCTTAAGGATCCGTCCTTGATACTTAACTGTTCAGTTCGTATATTCGTGACTTCCATCAATTGGTAGGATAATGCAACATTCATCATTACACAACTTCACTACTCTTTTCAGTTTCCTGACATTGTTTCTGTTCGAAATCTTATCAATCGTGATCTACAGACTATGTTTGATATTTCAGCAGCTCATAAATTCAAGTTAGAAGTGATGTCGGCATGATTTTTGTACCAAAAAGATAGCAGGATAATGCTAACATTACTGATAAATTGGTTTAGGCTTTCTTGGCCAGATTTTAATTATTACGATCTTCACTCGGGTTCGAAGGCCGTTGTGGTTTGGAATGGTATTCTAACGTTTCGCCAGCACGAGTGGCTGGCTTCTTCAGAGGTTTATTCATCTTGATGGTTCACCGATGACTCATCGAGGAACCAATATAAAAAAACTTTGGAAAAAGACTCAAATTGCATTTATATGATTAGCTTACTTTTCACGTGTTGATCGTGGCGCATTTGTTTAGGCAAAACGATTTGATGAACTAATAATAATAATTTTTTGAAACATTCATATTTTCTTAATTTGAGGGTAGAGTTTGAAAACAGTTTTGCTGATACTCTGCCCATTCATTTCAATATTTTTTATATATTGTCTCGGTAAATTATATGAATGAAGATTTTTCATTACTATTATTATTATTATAACAAATTCTGTTTTTTCAGCGCTTCAAGCAGTTCCGAAAGCAGTGTGAGTGGTGGGAGCGTAAATGGAGAATCATTTTATCTACATAATCCACAAGAAGTTATTTATAACAGAGTCAAAGACTTATTCGAGACTAAAGAACAAAGACAATCACTCTCTGCCCTGACAGGTGAGTGTGTCAGAATAATTTTTTTTTGCATGAATATTATTTTTATCAAAATTATCGCCATTACCACGATAGAAATTAATTTCTCTTAACATTGAGATTAGGATCGCCATATACAAAAGGTGCATATACAGGGTGTCACAAAATGTTATGAAAATATTTGATTGGGTGGATTACTCTCGGGCAAAAAACTTTCTGAAACCATAAAGTAGTATCAACCTACAGAAAGGACAGTGCTTTTTGAATAGTGCTTTTTCAGGTTTTGAGATACGTCGATTTTTCAGAAGTTTGTCTGATGATTGTATATAATGACTGTGTAAAGCGTATTTATGTTGACTCCGGTAGTTTGGTGTGATGAAACTGTACATTCATCGATCCTTCTCTACCTTCCGGCTTGATGTTTGATATTCTTGAACTCCTTAGAATGAGATTTCATATTTGGTTGAGGTTCACAACTTCTTATTTTCTGTTGAAATTATCAGTGTGTTTATGTATTTCTATTGCCTCCCGTTCCAGTCGGCTACGGTATCTCTGTCAATTTTTCTCTTGACGCTTTTGACATGCTGGAACCATGACAATTTTTTCACTTTTTGTATAGTATATTACTGATCCATTCGAAGGCAGAGGTGATAGATCAGATTCAGGTATAATTTTTTTTGAATGTACAGAGTGGGCCAAGTTGGACAAAAGCTGATGGCTATGTCTGAGGGGGTCAAATTTCATGACCAACTCATTGGTGAAAACCTCATGAGGGTTTCTGAGTTATAGCATATTTTTCGAAAATGTGCATTTTCGAAAAGTTGCTGTAACTTATCAATAGATATTGATGGAAAACTATTTTTTTAATGAGACACCCTGTATATTTCTGCATATTTCAATAGAGAATAAAATTACGCATGTGTGTAGGAAACGCTGGCGACAATTTGAACAACTTCTCTGGACGAATATATTTCATTGTTTGACCATTATCATTATTATTGTTGAAGTTTCATATATAAGCACTAAATCATACATATAAAAATGGATGTTTGTTGGTTGGTTGGTTGGTAAGTGATAAACTTCTACATCGCTCAACCTATCGTGATGAATCTTGACATATATAAGTAATTATTCATTGAGAGGTTTTTAGGCTCTCAATTTTTTGAGTTAGTTGATTCTGATTCTGTCAAAACATTGGAACAGCAGCGATACAGCAACATAATACTAGTATAATATAAATTGTTATCAGTTTCATTGAAATTATGTGTTTTGATTACTGCTGTGAAAAACTTTCTTAACATTCGATAGCTACTGCCGAACAATTTCTTTCTGTTTTATCGCCGCGTCGTCCAAAGCGTACTTGATCAAAGTGTGTGTTTCAAAGTCTACATGAAAACAACCTAAAAGCTCTGTATTCCAATGATGACTAGCAAAACATCAACTGTACTACATTTTTAGAGAGATCATTTCAAGGTCTATTGAAATATGCAGGAATATACAGGGTGTCTCATTAAAAAAATGTTTTCCATCAATAACTATTGATATCTCATTTGAAGTCTACATAAAAGAGTGCTTCGGAAATGTTTTCATAGAAACAAGAAATGTTTGACAGGAACTTTTCGAAAATGCACATTTTCGAAAAGCATGTGGAACAAATATATTATATTCGATTTTTTCAAATGAATATTCGAATCGATTGCACAATTGAATATTAACGGCTTATAATCATTCATGGATATTTTTGTTAAAAAAATCATGTACTTTCCAAAGTAGAGCACATTCGTAGTAAATCTGTGTTGAAATCAGGTGTTTTTGAAAATTCCCCTTCATTTGAAAAATCTTCTAGTCAAATGAACGATTTACTTCTAGAAACCACAAATTATATTGCTTTCACTTCTCGTTGTCTATTGGTGTAAAATTATATACTGCACTCCATTTAAAACGGGCCACTCTGAATAACTTTTGGTTACAACGATTTTCAGGAAAAATAAAAAAAACACGTCAACCATAATATACAGGGGGATACATTTTGACATACTCATATTTGATGTTACTTCCCCTATCGTATCCTCAGTGTATGTCACCAATTTTTTTAAATGGGTCATCCTATATTGTTTCGCATTATCAGATGCTCCATGATGAATGAATTTCAACAAAGTATAACACATATGGTCTGAAGCTTATGGTTCGGGAGCTACAAATTATTTGAAATAACTTTTGAAACAATGATTTGCAAGAAAAATCAAAGAAACAGGTCAACAATTATACAGGAGGCCACATTTTGACATATTCGTTCTAGAGACAAATATGGAAGCAGAGATTTTTTATTAATTTTGGAATCAAACTTTGATGACTAGACAATGAGAAGAAAACAGTTTTTTATAGTGGAAGTTTGAAAACGTTTTCACCAACTTCCATACAATGGTACAAATGAGCTTCTATTGCCCCCCTCACATGGTTGAGAATCTCGGGAGATATTTCTCTGCAATGCCTCATGATATTCTATCTCAAATCGTCCAATGTTGTTGATTCTATCTCATACAATTTAGAATTCAAATCACCCCGTAGAAAGAAATGTACAGGAGTGAGATCCGGAGACCTTGGTGGCCATTCTGTAGGACCTCTACTGCCAATCCTGCGGCCAGGAAAAATGATCATCTATAAATTGTCGCACTGAAGCTGAATAATGAGGAGGTGCACCATCCTGCTGAAAAACTATTTTGTTTTCGAATAAATTTATATCTTTCCCAATTTCCCTATTGTTGTACGGTATTATTCGTTTCTCCAACATATTCAAATATTTATTACTAGTCAAATTATCATCGATAAAAAAGGTCCTATGACGTAGTCACCTAAAATTCCTGCTCAAACATTCAGTTTTTGAGGTCGTTGGGTATGAACTTGACGGTATAAATGAGGATTCGTATCACTCCAATATCGACAATTTTGCCGATTCACCTTACCATTCAAACTAACCGTACATTCACCCGAGAAACAAATTTCATTCAAGAAATTCTAATGAAAGTTAATCCGTTCAGTGGGACATTCACAAAACTCGATACGTCTATCGAAATCATCTTCGTTCAATTCATGAACTAGTCTGATCTTATATTGATGAAATTTGTGCTTATGAAGGATCCTGAAAACATTTTTACTACTGATTCCTGATTCTCGAGATAACTTAGTAGTAGATTGTGAATTTTTCATTTTTTCATTAGTCCAACATGCCCCAAAACTGCAGTACAAATAGCTTCACCGTTGACTCCTGTTAACTATTGTTAACAGATCCAGTTTCCATAAATTTGTTCAATAATGCCGAAATTTATTTGTTCATCCTGGATAATTATCACTATTTCTATTCTGGTAGTACAAACTCACTATTTCAATCCGTTCTCGAAGCGTATAAACTATTGCATCTAAAGAATTCACAAAAACATAAACACCAATTGTAACTTCACCTGGTAGGTAATCGTTTTTGTGTAGAATTCAAACGTAACTAGGCAAAATGAGACTTTTTTGAAGTAAGTATACTTTACAAAAACACCTATGAAACCTAGGTAACAGATTGTACAGAAGTTCATTCAGGGTGGCTTCCAAACTATTTTTGTTGAAATCTGTTCATCATGGAACATCTGATAATGCAAAACAATTGATCTATTTAAAAAAAATGGTGATAATTCTGTGGGTGCAATAGGGAAAGTTAGATCAAATGTGAATATGTCAAAATGTATCCCTCTGTATACTATTGTTGGGGTGTTTTTTTATTTTTACTTGAATTCATTGCTCCAAAAGTTATTCACGGTGGCTCGTTTTCAACTCAAATAATTTGTCGCTCCTGAACCATAAGCTTCAGACCATATGTTTTATACTCTGATGAAATATGCTCATCATTGAACATCTGATAATGCGAAACAATATAGGGTGATCCCTATGTATACTATGGTTGACGTGTTTTTTATTTTTCCTGCAAATCATGGTACCAAAAGTTACATAGGGTGGCTCGTTTTGAATGGAATGCACTGTATATTGTTGCCAACGTGGAGAAGAATATTTTGTAATTTGATTGTGAGAGAAAAGTTATTTCGTCAAGAATAACTGTACGCTAGAAGTTCCACTGCTACTCATAAAATTAATACGGTAATATAATAACCATCGTTCTTCCGCATATTTTTCACAGTTGATAGAATATTCAGCTAATTATTGTTATACGTTCAATAGAAACCCCACAACGTGGGTCATCTACAATGTATTGAACGTTCCATCAATGTTTCTGTCAGTCATGAACGTGCATTTGAATAATACATTTGGAAAACAAACTGTTGCTAGTAACACCTAATTGTCGATTTCCTTTATTGGAAAAGAGAGTGCTCAGCTTTGAGGACATTCGGTTAGTGCTCGATAAATGTAGATATTAGCTGGGTTTGTTTCAACTTTTTTATTCATGTGATGTGAAGTGAACGACTGAAAGTGACCGCAAAAGACGTACGAGCTCAAAGCAATTCTTGTAGTACAACTTTACAGTATTTAACGTAATGGACATACAAACAAAATGTTTCAGTTGGAGATAACAGTTTGGATGCAAAGTCCGTAGGCTAACATAGAAATTTTTTTGATGAAACAGAAAAAAGTCACTGGGGGCCACATCTGGAGAATACGGTGGATAAGGAATCGATTCGAAGCACAATTCATTCAATTTTGTCACTATTTCGTCCTTCAACCGTTCCAAGAACGCTAGGTAATAGTTGCTGTTGATTGTTTCCTCCTTTTTAAGATGATCGATGAATATTATACCATGTACATCCAAAAATACTGATACCATAATCTTGCCAGCCGACTGTTGCGTCTTTGCACGCTTTGAAGTTGGTTCACCACGTACATTCCACTCCGATGACGATACTGTTGATTCTGGTGTGAAATGATGAAGCCATATTTCATCCATTATCACATATCGACACATAAATTCGCGTTATGGTGCTTATGGGCTTCAAATTCTGCTTGGAAATATCAATTCGTTGTGAGCTTGCGCTGCACCCACTTTGAACAGAGCTTTCGTATACCCAAATATTCATGCCTGATATGCCCAATATTTTTCTTTGATCTATTTGGAGCCTTAGCTATGTTGACCAACTTCATTTTGCGTTATCTTAAATTATTTTTTCGACTTTTTGGTGTTTATATCAGTAACATCTTCTTTTGGACATACACTGCATGCATCGTCTTCGGTGCTCATTTCACCTCGTTTAAACGCTTCCCAACGGTTGATTTTCCTGATACAAAGTCCGAATAATGTTCATCGAGCCAAGCCTTGACTTCAACAATATTTTTTTCGCCAAAAAGCAATGGTTTATCAACACACGAAATTCCTTTGTATCCATTTTTTTCCAACTAACAAAATTTGCTTCACTTAGAATGTTCTATCTCACAAACTAATAGTTCGACAGCTGTTACATTTGAGGTTAGGGTTAACAAAAATTATATGAATTTAATACGTGTAGTGCCATCTGTGTGCTAGCCTGCCACCTTCTCAGCCCACCTAATAATCTGAAAATTGCAAATTCAAAATGTTATTGGAGAAAACGGACAAATTATATTCTAGTAGTTTTTTTATACTGAGTATAACCAAAAATAAGTTTTCAGGATCTGTTATTGAAAATAATGAAAACATTCATTATAAAGGCCCTTTCTTTTGTACTATGACGATGTAATAATAAATATTCAATAAACCTTTTCGTGTCAACATGGCCACCAGATCGATAAATTGACAATCCTTGGGTATATCACGTTTGAAATTTATAAAGCGTTTCATTTGAAATAACTAACATCATCAGTAACAACAATTTTAAATTACGGTTCTGTCGTTACCTCTTTTGTAAATTGTAGGTGGAATAATACAAATGAACAGTTACATAGCGGAATCAATTTTCAAGGAAGGTTCGGAATAAATGTTTGGTTGGGAATTGTGGGAACAAATATCCGTGGCCCTTTCTTTTACGTTCATTTGAATAGTGAAATGTTTCTTCATTTTCTATTCAATGAATTCAATGGCTACTTAGATGAATTGCCACTGAATATCCGCCATGAAATACAGTACTTTCAAGAGGACGGCGCTTTCCCCCATAATGCAGCAATAGTAAGGGAACATTTAGATTTTTTCGTCTGGGGATACATAAAGGATAAAGTTTTTTCATCACCAAGTATACAGATATCGACCATCACAAATAAAAAATAAGAGATGCATGTATTAGTAGTACACCCAGGGCCGTAACGAAAATAAAAACCAGGGGGGGAGGGAATCCTAATTTTTTCAACTCTACCAGCAAAATTTCCCAACTTTTGAAGAAATGAAAGGCGAGAAATTAGTTACTACTATATTATATGAATTTTCTTACTTAGCTATCCAAAGATTGGCTGAATGATTATGCCCATTAGGGTATGTACAAACAAAAATAAATTTTGGTGAATATAAAAATAATAATGGGAATTATTCTACTTTGGACCAAGGTCCTTGCTCTTCCACCGTATTCACCATATATAGGAATATTCAATACGAATGAAAGAAAACAACACTTAAATAATATTGTGCTTATTGTTTTCTACTATTATTTTT